CATGACAGGAAAGCGCCCATATGAGTCGCTACGACATCCTGTCCGGGCCCATTTAAATCATCGCATGCAAACATGACAGCAAAGCGCTCGGATCAGTCGCTAAAACATCCTGTTCAGGCTCATTCAAATCACCGCATGCAAACATGACAGGAAAGCGCCCGGATTAGTCGCTACGACATCCTGTCCAGGCCCATTCAAATCATAATATGCAAACATCGTGAACTCCACTTCAGACAGATGAATTGGGCAAGCATAGTAAGTTCCCTCTGGTCCAGTTAAAGTCCTGAATAAAAACACCAAAGAGATATACAAAAAGTCAATCAATCAAAGCAAATAGCGGAGGGTAATATAGGTAGGGGTTTAATGAGGTTCTAACAGAACCGCATCGGCCTACCTCAGAGTTCCCTGCCTCCAGAACCCCGCTTGGGCTCTGGCAGAGCTCTTGGAATCGGTGGGTCACCCCCCCCCCCCCCCCCCCCCCCCNGGGGGGGGGGGGGGAAGGGTTTTGTTTGATGAGGACTGAAAGGCCACCATGATGCTAATCACGGCGAGCTGCAATTTTTGAGAGCACGAGTCAAACCATACCAGGACATTAAGCAATCCGCATTGTATGGTAACAAAGAAGGCACACATCCCAAACTTGATAAAGCCAACGAATACCAACTGGCGTAGCTCAGTTGATACCCCACCCCACCCGCGCCCCCACCTGGAACTGTTGAAACCCAGAGCTGAGTCCGAAATCCACTGGAAGCAGATTAGTGACATACTACTATTCTAAATTACCCGGTCAGTTCGATGATGATATCTCAAGGTCGTTGCTCTTTAAAAATCGAAAGCCAAAGAATATGCATACAGCGGCGTCCATCTTTCAGCAAACCTACAAAATGGCCAAAGTACCAGAGCCCGGGGGCTGTAGGTCGCAAGTCAGTAAGGGAAAAGCCAAAAGGCAGCGAGAAGCAGCAAGGCAACAGTAGGAAAAGAAGAGCAAGGCAACAGACAGCCAACCTATCAGGTGAGCAGCAGGGGAAGACAAATCGGGAAGGCAAAGTTTGAAAATCGAAAGGGCGGGGAGGCAGCGAGGATTGAACAACAAGCATTTGCAGGGCACAGAGGCTGGTGGACAAGGGGGAGGTGGGTGGGCAAGCAAGCAGCACTAAACAGCTAGAGAAAGAACGCACCAAGTACAAGAGCTTGAAAAAATTGAACAACAAGACACTGAAGAGTGAAAAAAAAAAAAAAAAAAAACTCTCGATGACAAGATTGTTTCGACGGAGTCGCACCGAGTCCATCAGAGGCTGAACCTCGGCAGTTTGTGGAGTCCCTGCATGGATGGTTTGGGTCATGAACTCTTTGACCCTTGTAGAAGGCAGATTGTCCCCGAGTGGAACTTAACGGCAGGCAACAACTCAGTGAAGTACCTGGCAATGCTGCTGGAGCACCCCAACTGCACAACACCGAAGACAAAGCCATGGAGAACAGGGCAAGCGGATGTGCAGCACAGCGACAGTGCAGTGCGGCACAAACCAATACCCGCAAGGCAGCCAAACTACACGGCACACAACCAAAGGACATGGAAAGCAAGGTGTGTGGATGGGCGGCAAGGCAGCAGAACAGCAAAGCACAAGTCAACACCATATAGCAGCTGAGAAGAACAACATGCGAAGCAAGTGGGACGGCAGCAAGGCAGCAGTGGAGCGCAGACAAGGCAGTCGACATGGAGCAAAGCGGACTCATGTCGCAAGTGACCACCACGGACTATTCGTTTCCACTGCTGGCTGAGCCAGGGAATCACTCAGACAAACATCCATCGTCACCTGCAGGAAACACAGACATAGCAAACTGAGCATCCCCCCCAAGGGTGCTGCAGGCACTCGAGGAATGATCGACTATTTGGCACTGCTATACACTCAGAAAGTACTTGAAAAAAAATCAAGAAGGACAGCAACAGAAAACAGCAAGAAATACATAGCACTGTGTGTGTGCGTGTGTGTGTGTGTGTGTGTGTGTGTGTGTGTGTGTGTGTGTGTGAGAGAGAGAGAGAGAGAGAGAAAAAAGGTTCTTGTGACCGTGCCGCGGCATGTTGCATCAAGTGGTGTGCTTTTAAACAACACATGGGAAAGAGCCACTGCCCGGCTTACCCATAAAAGGAATGCACATAAGGTTTGAAAAGTCGTAAAGCAAAAGGAACCATAAGGCAAGGACCACACCAGATGGCTGCAAGACAAAAACAACAAGCAGAAAAAAAAACGACAAGGCGAAGGTCAAGAAACAACAAGGCATCGAGCGGCAAGCAGCAGCAAAAAGCGTAGGGTGGAGGGTACGGGGAAGGCGAGTGGAAAGACAAACAGCACTAGGGAACAATGACAAACCGTACAAGGCAACAATGGGGATAGGAGATGAAGCACGATGGAGGAAGAGGCATGAGGCAACAAGGCATGTGACAACAAGCAGCAACAAACAACAAAGGCAGGAGGGCAAGGGGGAGGTGGGTGGGCACACAAGGCATAAGGCAACAAGGCATAGGACGGCAGGCAGCAATAAAGACCAAAAGCTGAATGGCACAGGGGAAGGAACTACCAGTAACAAAAGCATTCTCCGCTCGGGCCAGATTTATGTGGCGGCTAAGGAAATTCATGACCCCCCTCCCCTAAACTTCACACAACATGGTATAGAGTCTGCACTAGGTTGCCCATGCAGATGTTGCCGCCTAGAACTACCGGATGCCCATGCAGATGTTGCCTCCTAGAACTATCGGTTGCCCATGCAGATGTTGACGCCTAGAACTATCGGTAACACGAGCATTATTGGCTGCGGCAGGTTGTTCGCAGCCCGTCAGGGGTGCGTTTTATGCCCCTGAGAAATTTCGTCGTCGTCACCAAACGGTGCGGTAGTTGGAGGGGTGGTGTGTTTGCTGGGGGTCCAATTTGTGGGAAATAGGCAGTTTTCGCTGTTGGAGGACCGGTAGCTGCCCGCAGGAGGTCGGGGAGGCCGGATCCTGAAAAGTTTTCGCTGTTGGAGGACCGGTAGCTGCCCGTAGGAGGTCGGGGAGGCCGGGTCCTGAAAATTGGCATTCCGCTGAGTTAGGGCGGGTTTTTAGGGGGGGCGCCGACTGGAAGGCACAGGCGGGTCTAATCTTGCAATTTTTTAGCGCCAACTTTGGCGATTTTTCGTATGCAGAATAATTGGAGAAAAGATCTGAAAATTTGATATCGGGTAGACCAGGTGGTGATCTTTCCAGGAAAAATATCAACAAAATAAAATAAAATCGTTTAGACCATGAAATAAATGCCGCGCCAATTCGTCACTTTTTCCATTTTTGGCACACGACAACTTGTGGGCCAACGGGAAAAGTACCCCTATTGCAAAGATTTTTCACGCTCAGAAGAACTCGTAAACAAGTCTGAAAATTTGAGGGTCCGTAGATTTGGTCATGATCTTTTCAGGAAAACTGTTTAAAATTTTTTTAAAAATTGTCTCAACCGCGAAATAGCTTATAGCGCAAATTCATCCCATTTTCCATATTCACCACTCTGCCGGTTTTCCACTCTGTGCTACTGGTAGCCCTCATGGACCTGTGCTACCGGTCCCCCGAATTTCCAACGTCGGGTAGAGTGGTGGTTTGAATTCGAAGCCTGTTGTGGCCGAAATCGAAACAGGCCAAAAGCAGCAGCGGCCACTCCCGTTCCCTCTGTGTTCACAAAGTGATAGTCTCCCTGTGTGCGCCGGGAGTGTAGTGCCTTATCGATCGAGGCGTTTTGACAAAGTGGCGCAGCGCCTGATCTCTCTCTCTCTCTCTCTCTCTCTCTCTCTCTCTCTCTCTCTCTCTCTCTCTCTCTCTCTCTCTCTCTCTCTCTCCCTCTTTTGCCTTCCCCGCCCCACACTCTTCTCCCAAGGACCACCACCACATTGCACTGGCAACGAAGGAGCAGCAGCCCACTTTGGTTGGCTACTCTCCAGTACTGCTCCCAGCAGCGCTTGCCTCAATTGGCAGCCTCGACTGGTGACCGAGTTCCGAGGAGCTTCACATTGGGCCAAAGTGTCTGCACCCAGGCCCAATTCAGATACTGGCCTGAGACCGAAGTAGTAAGGCCACTGCAATTGCACGACGGGGCCATTGCTGTTTGCAGCCTTCCAGTGGCTGAAAGCCAGCGTGTGACATCAGTGCCCAGGAGGCTGTGCGGCCCAACGCAGGCCCTGGTCACGTGCACGGCCTTCGTAACCAACTGGCGCCCAGAAAGTGTCTGGGCCCCAGAATTTCCAAAAAATAGGCCGCTGGGGCAAAATGCTGGCCGGCCTTCACTTAGGGCGGGCACCGGACTTGCAAATGGGGCCCTTATGTCGCTGCTGAGGGCTCAGTCCCCAGCACTTAAATATCTCCCTTTCCCTTTCTCTTTTCCTTTTCAACTCTGAACTTCCTTTGTCGATGAATGTGAGGCTGCACTTGTGTTGAATGTGGCAAATTGTCGTCCTCTCTCTTTCTTCATTTAAACCTGTCCTCTCTCTTTCTTCATTTAAACCACCAGTTCGCACGAGCTTAAGTAAGTAGTACTCGTACTGGTACACGCGGTAAGAGCTTTTCGATACGCGCCGTCGCGCCCGGGCCAGTAGTGAATGCAGCAGGCCACTTTAAAAGGCGCAGTTGCTGGCTCTCGAGCCTTGGAAGGTAGCTTCGTCAACTTAGGCTACCGTCTTCACCCGAATATAACGCCCGGTCATTATAGCTGTATTTGGGGCATTTTGCAGTCCAGATGCAGCGATAATGACCGGGCGTTCTATTCGGGTGAAGACGGTAGTATGAACCGGTGGTTCAATGTTTATGAAGATCGTGGCAGAGAAATAGTACTCCGAGAGTGTAGACCTCTTTGAGCTCTTCTTAGCTCTCCTCCCAGAGGCTCCCTCCCATTCTTCATTTCCTCGGCGTTTGGCATGATGATGACGAGGGTGGTCTTCTTTTCTGTATGGGGTTCTGACATTCGCCTTTGCTGGCTGTTTGTTTCCAGGTATCTTTTCATTTTCCTGAAGTTCATCGCTTCAGTTATCCCGACCATGGAGTATGACTATACTGTGGATTTTGACTTGGGTCCTTCAAGAGTGCCATCCTGATCGAAACGGTGCGGTGCGCGCTCATTGGGTTACACGGGTGACCCATAACAGGTCAGGAGGCAGGAGCGCTTTCCTACAAGCGAGGGGGTTTCTCGTAACATTTGTCAATTTGAAAGGAGCAAGTCGGTATCCACAAAGCGTATAAGGGGAAACCAGTGGCTTTGACATTGGGCTTGGAATGGAATGAGCCTCTGGCCCGGTCCGCAGCACGGCCCGGCCCAGCCCTGCATGGAGAGCATCTGCAAACGCAGGAAAAGAACGAGTTGCATCTTCTTAACTTTGTTATCAAGTGAAGTTCAGTCCGGTCAGCAGCAGCATGGTCAGGACTCAGGAGCGCGACACAACCATGCATAGAGAGCATTGTCGAAAGGCGGAGAAGAGTGAGTTGTATCGTTGTCTTACTACCTTGGAGAGTGCCTGGTATGCCGTCTCTCTTTCCCATGTAGTAGCAGTTGTACTGCATTGCCTGTTGAGGGCTGGAGCCTTCTTCACATTACCTAACTCATCTCGGGGACTACGTGTGTTTGCCTTGTCGCCCAAAAGAGTTGCCGCGCTGGCGTGTAAAATGTGTAAGTTCAGATCAACTTGCTGGTGGTGTGGCTCTGTTGTGAAGCCTCGGGCACCGTGAGTGCAGCTATGGTTAAAGCAAGGATGGAGGGAGATTGACCTCTGCCTGATCTCCAGTGTCATCTGGTCTGCTTGAGGACTCTCATGGAAGAGAATGTTGGACGTGGGACACCACCTGCAAGCTTCTGGGACTCGTGCTTGTGGACAAGGGTTCAAGTCTTCATGGTAGCATCATCTTGCATCCTTCATACCACTGAAATGTCGACGGAGAAATAAAGGTTTTGGTGTCCGTTCATCCACTATGGAAAGCGATGGGGCTTGGAAACTTAGAGAGGTGAAACTGTCTAAAACGTGAAGGTGGTTTTGTGTCCTCGAGTCCACAGGCAAGCATTCAATGGTGTGTGTGTGTGTGTGTGTGTGTGTGTGTGTGTGTGTGTGTGTGTGTGTGTG